CTCTGGTTTCAGACAGAGGGTGAAAAGAGATGCTGCAGCACCGTGTGTGTGTGTGTGTGTGTGTGTGTGTGTGTGTGTGTGGACTAGCAGGTAAATCTTTTTTAGAAGAACACCAGTACTCGGATCGATGCATACTTCATTATGAAAGTCCCATTCAGATGCGATAAAAGTTATGAAGTGCTGAAACTGAAAGCTTGATGCGCGGTAATGAGAAAATAGACAACTTAAAGCACAAAGAGTCTCTTGTTTGGCCTCCAGCGAGGTGCGGCAGCCTTAATGGAGGCAGCCTTTCATGGGTAATGCAAAGAGCCCATTCAGTGGCAGTCAATGCGATCAAATGTGATATTTTTCTGCTTGAAAATTATCTCTTAAAACATCGCAAATGTGCTGCTTTGACAATATTAACTGAGCTGGACGTAATAATGACGGTGCTTTATCTCTGAACTCACCTAATCTCCAGATGTGGAGTTGTGACTGTTGCCTAGCAACATTGAATATACCCAGCTATAAAAGCAATTTAGCTTTTTTACTGACAGCTCTGGCTTGCTACTTTATTATTTAACATTTCACTAAGAAATCATTAATGTGCATTCACTCCTGTACGTTGGTCTTTATGATCACTGTTACTTCCCAGAAATTAGTTAATTAAAAATGTGAAAATGATGCCGTTTAATGTCTTGTGGGAAGTTATCAAGCACCGTTGTTTATTGTGTTTTTAGATAGACGCTTGGCACAGAGGGATTCCTTTTAAATGAGTTGTTTAAATGAATGTATGCCAGAGCATTGCTATGCCGTCATTTAGCAGAAGACATTTAGGATTCCTTCCAAACTCAATTTGGGATGCAAAATGGTGCAGTTGAACTTGTAATAGTTGTTTGTGTGGACTCAGAGGAGCCAGCAGGACATGCACGGTCACTTTGGACTCGCTGTAGACCGTGTGATTGGTTGTATTTTTCAAGTATTAATAATGCATTGATTGATAGGGCTGCTCGATTATGGCAAAAATCATAATCTCGATTATTTGTCAATAACTTTAATTGCGATTATTAAATGCGATTATTCATTGACTTGTGAAAAAAAATGTGAACAGTATGTTTTTAACAGTTGATTACCCTGAACTTTAAGTATAATTCAACTGAAAAACCAAAAAAAAAAGTAATAATAAAAAAATAATCGTTTTATTTCGATTACGTTGTTTTCGTAATCGTTGCAAGCCATAATCGTAATCGCGATTAATTGAGCAGCCCTACTATATACAGTATTGATTGTCCTTCCTCCTTATCTTCCAACCATTTGGACGCAAACTTGCATTTCCCCATAACGATGTTGCTTAGCAACCGGCGTAAACGGACCTTCGCGCGCTATCAAGCAGTGAGCGTGCGATGTC